CCCCAAAACCCCAAAACCCCAAAACCCCTCTCCCAGTGACCTTCTTTGAACTATTCTAATAACACCAACATCAAATAACAACAATCTCTGAATCTTCATCCTTATCTCTTAAACTAATCCCTCAGTCACGTACAAAATTGAATACAGAGGAAGAACACACAGTGGAGAAGAGATTTCAGTAGGATTTTATAGTAGAGAAGTTGGGATTTTGGCTGTGTGGGGTAGAGGGTTTGGATAGAAGGATTTGAAGTGTGGGAAGTTTTATGAGGAAATTTTAGAGGTTGAATGGATGGAAGTTAGGAAAGGGATTTGGGTTGTTGGGAGGTGGATTGATGTAAATTTAGAGGGGTTTTGGGAGGAAGACTGTTTTTGGGGCCTTTTAATAATTTTCCGTGGAGATTTGAAGGGGGTAGAGTCTTTAGTACTGATTTTCCACTAGATTTGTCTAAAATGTATGTTCCAAAAGATCTCTTAGGGGGGTATAAAAGTCAAAGGAATGGAAAAAAGCAGAATAAATTCTCTAATGATCTGACTCTCGGCAACTCTGCTGCCAAGAAGGTCAGACAAGAGATCAAGAATTCTTTGGTTGGGCAGAATTCCATTGGTAACTTCATGGGCGATAGCTCCGCTCTCGAACTTAATCTCGGAAATAAGAACGGACAAAAATTCTTTCCATCAGATGAGATTACTATCTGGGCTTGGAATGTGAATGGTGTAAGAGCTATGATCAAGAAAAAGAAGCTAGATGACTTTTTTAAGTCAGTGAGCCCTGAGATATTATGTCTAAGCGAAACCAAAATAGATGAAGGAGCCTTATCCGACCTTAAACTTGAAAGAAAGATCCCGAAGGAATACCTACAGTATTGGAATTGATGAGTTCCTCCTATTAAAGGTAAGTGTTAACTATGAGAGTCGATATCTAACTAGTTTATAGGATATGCAGGCACTGCAATTTTTACTAAAGTTATCCCATTATCAGTGAAATATGACATTGGAATTCCCAAACATGACAAAGAAGGCCGAACCATAACTCTGGAGTACGAAAAGTTTTACCTAGTTGCTGTATACGTACCTAATGCAGGATCTAGCTTAAAATGGCTTAACTATCGTGTAGCACAGTGGGATGTAGATTTCAGAAACTACCTGAAAAGTCTTGAACTAAAAGGAAAGCCAGTGATTCTAATGGGTGATCTCAATGTGGCCCAACTAGACATAGATGTCTATAACCCACAAGGGTATGATCGGTACCCCTGATTTACTGAAGAGGAGAGAACTTCCTTCTCAATGTTCAAGAATCTTGGCTTTATTGACACATTCAGAGAAATATACCCAGGGAAAATAAAGTTCTCCTTCTGGGATGTCAGAAGCAGCATGAGAAAGGAGAACAAAGGTTGGAGACTAGATTATGCAATTGTCTCTAAAAGTATCTTCCCAGCTGTTGTGGACTCAGAAATCCACACTGATATCTGGGGAAGCGACCATTGTCCGATTAGCCTTACCTTTGACCAGAGTTACATTGATCTGGATGATTTCAAAGAGGATATTAACTTTGATGAAAATGATAGCGATGATAAATCAGAGATGGATTTTGAAGAAGAAGAGAAGATTAACATGCCAGATTTTGATTGCGAACAATTCTCTGAACCCATTGAATTAGACAAAGGACCTCCTGAGCCTACTGCTACAATCTTTGATGAGGACCCTAACAAGGAAAATATCTTTGACAATAAAGAATAAGGTGTTTTAATTTTTCTTAGCAATATTTTTAATCTTATTCGTACTTTTGTTGATCCTAATAAGCTCTATCACTCTATCCTTCATGCATTGATCATGGTTGACTGCTTCTAATAAACTCTTCAGAGTGATAATTGTATCACCCTTTTTCCTTGCTTGTTCGGTACTCTGAAGGAAAATATTTTCAATACAAAGGATCAACTGAGCTTCAAGTTCCTTAATAGTATCTTTTCTGATAGTTGCTTCTTGCTCACAACCAAAGATTTTCAGCATTGTTTTCACTAAAAATGACAAATTGAACTTACTCTCTTCAGCAAAGCCGTTCTTCGGATTAGAGAAATGTGTGCACTCATAGGGATGAAAGGCTTCAGGATCATCAAGCTGCACTTCTAATATAGTTTTGAATGTGTCTAGGTCACTAGCTACAACTCTATTGTAGAACTTGTGCTCCAGTCGTCCCTTAGACATATCTTTAGATCTCTTCTTCTCCATTTTAATTTATGTCTAAAGTATTAAGGGGTTTTGGGGTTTTGGGGTTTTGGGG